CCGCGAGCGGCTGACGAAGCTCTGAACGATGGCAGATATTGGCGGTCGCTGTAATACACGTTGGCTACGACGATGCCCGACGTCGCCGTCGTGACGTCGAAATTAACGTATCCTTTCGTAATTTTGGTAAATAACGCGAAGAGCCATACCGATCCTGAATAACCACTCTGGCTCATTATCTCATTCAGTAGCCATTCAGTAGAGTTTCGCTTCTTTGGGGCAAATATATATATATATATATATATATAATATGTGTATACGTATATTGTATGTAACGCGTACAAATACCCTTTTTATTTCATTCTTACTTACTAACCCTTTTGCTCTCCCCTCTTCACCTTCCTTCATGATACACCTTGTGTGTATATATATATATACACATACAGTGTATATCCACTGTGCTACTGTGTGCCGCGTGCGCCATTTCGAATGTCTTGAGTCGAGTCGGCCGGGCGTTTTGTGCGCCGCGCGCAAAGATGCCTTTGAATCCTTAATTCCCTTTGAAACTCTCATTCCGCGAGCAAAATGGCGAGAACGAGCCGTATTCTTCGGCTGAATGACGTATTGAGTCGAGTTTTGTATGCCGGCGTTGCGTGCCTCCCGCCACTCCCGTCCCATCAGTCCGTCGGCTCTATCCGTGCATCCATGAAAACTCTGCTTGTCCATCCATCAGCCGTTCGGTAAGGTCCCAAAGAATTCTCTTAGCGTTACATTGACTCTCGTTGCCTCTTGATTCGTTATATATCTTACACTGACGCAATTACTCGGTCGATCATTCTCCGTATTCGTCTACCGGGGCCACCCTCTTCCCTCGTAAAATACACGAGCCAGCCTCAATTACCTTCTTAAACATCATTCGAGTAAACGATACGAAATATATATTTGAAAAATATTCAAACCACTTCGGGTACTCACTGGCGCCACCTGGCGGCAAATTAAAGAAATCCTAATACCTGCAGCCATCCCCACAGCTGTCATTCTCAGTGTCCGTTTGCCTGACACGTTGGGGGATGACGCAATCCCTCCGTCACCTGTACCGGGGTATCGGATACGTCATTAACGGGACACCCTGTATGTCTTTGAACTCGTGATTGGAAATTAATAATTTTTTTTTACGAAAAGTTGGTGGATTATCAATATTTTTTTTTTTTTTTTTTTCACGCGACCAACGTCAATGGCGCACTCGAGGAACGTGACAATTTTCTTTAAGCTCTCATCGCGATTTTTTGTTGTACACTTTTTTTCTTAATTTTTTTGGAAATCCCTCTCTACCCTCCCTCTCCCCCTCTGTCGCCACCTACCCTCAACCATTTCATCCAGAATTTTTCCCCGAGAGAATTTTCTTCTCGCTCGGCCGGTCCTCCCGCGAATCCATAGCGCGGAGCGAAGGGGGGGTGCCGGCGGTGGGGGGGGAGGCAAATGGCACGGAGGGCCGCGCCAGCCCATATTCGTGCATTGTGGCACGTTCCATCGCGTTCTCAACTGAACTGAACTCGACTCAACAGTGGAGACACAATGGGCGCTATGAATAAGTATAACAGACAGACACAAGTAGCTCAGGCCGCAGTATGTGAATGAGGAACCCATTTGATAACACGCCTCCACAGCCACCCTGGTCCATTGTGTCGCTTCCTATTCAGCTGCTCTATGCCCTCTCCCACCCTAGCCCCAAACCTCCTTCGCCGCCACGTTTTACTATGTACCACCTCCCCTCACCTTCTCTTCGTCTCCCCCTCCCCCTCCCCTCACTCTCTATTCCTTTATCGATATCTTCAACCAAATCTGCTACTAGCTCGTCGCCCTGACTGATACGCGAATCTTCCTAACGGTTAGGGTGGATTTTTGGAAAAAAAAATTTTTTTTTCGAATTTTTATATTTTCCCGTGAAACGTAACCTTGGATTCGTCGATCTTCGTCGAATTCGCGTGTTAATTCAAGATGAGCTGTCGGTGCGAAATGCCGATCGATCCGTGAATCCACCTCGTGCTCGCACGGGAGGCTGGAAAGGACAAAGCTTCGATTTTTTGGGATTTCGTGGGATAATAGTGCGCGATACTTGCGGGCAACCATGTGCGCGCCGGGGG